GAGAGCAGTAGGAGCATAAAGATTATTATTATTTTTTTGTTGCTTTGGTCTGCTGGATGTTATCTTTTTTTTTTTTACAAGTATATAAAGCTTATTGGTATAAAGCAATGATGTACTGCAACCCATAACCACTGATCAGTAATCATTCTTTATTTTCATTGCATTAAAATGACAAAAAAAGGGGAGGGGGGGGGATTGATGGTTCGGAATTGTTAAAATTGCTGCTACTTCGATTGTGCTTTAGGGATGATCAAATCAGGAGAGTCATCAATTCAGCACTTTTTGATTCTCCTAATTTTTTTTTTTTTACATGTAGATCTGTTGAAAATTATGCCGTTTAGGAATGCAGGCAATTATGATAAATTCATTTGATTCTCTACAGCCTGAACACATTTACATGCAGTTATTCCGGGGAATTAAAGAGACCTTGTCACCCATTTAAAAAAAAAATGCAGATAGAAGTTAAAAAAAAAAACAAGTATTCTAAATGCTTACTTGTAGTGTTTTTCCTTTCCATGAATGATTTTCTTATTGACTTGCAAAGTGCCTTTTAACTTGTGAGAAAATGTAACTACTCCAGGAAGAGTCAATTCCCTAGTGTAGCTTCCCCCCTTGCATATACATAGCCCCTCTTCTGGGAGTTTCTTACTGTGTGCTGGCCAAACTTCTCTGCCTTTCCCTTCATCCCCCTACATAACTTTTTATGTATCAGCCAATGGAGGAGTGAGATGAATAGTATAGAGCCAGGGGTCTCCAAACTATAACCCTCCAAGTGTTGAGGAACTGCAAGTCCCGTGAGGCCTTGGAAGACTCTGACAGCCACGGGCAAGACTCCCAGAGGCATGATGGAGTAATAGTACTTCAACAGCTGGAGGGCCATAGATAGTTTGGAGACCCTTGGTATAGAGTGACAGCTCTGAGCCTGCTGGGGCTGCTGACATCACAGCCAAGATGGCGGGTCTTATTATTATTATTATTCTCAGGTCTTTGGATGGTTACACAAGGGAGGCTTTTACAGGTCTAATGTTTAAAGTGTGGTAACTTATACATATAGGAGGAGATTTACTAAAACCGGTGCACACAATCTTATGCATCTGTACATTGAAACCATTCAGCTACCATGTTTTTGTCAGCTTCATTGAACAAGCTCGAGTTAAAAGCTGACTGGCTACCATTCTCAGCTGCACTAGATTCTATGTGCTCCAGTTTTCGTAAACCCCCCCCCCCCCCATAAACTTATAAAACAGTGGTCGGTGACAAGGTTTTTTTTGAATATTTAGCATTTTTTCTGTATCTATTGTGTATACTGTATGTATTACTCACCTTTGGGGGAGTCATGCAATTTGGTGGTTGCTTCTTTAGCTTTGCAGTGCTGACAATATATGTTTTATATGTGCCTCCAGTGTTTGTCTAAGCTGCTTGGGGTGCTCTGGTTTTCTTCCACCACTAAACACTGGTAGATCAATCAACTTATACTGAAACAACTCTATTGCATCTGTATGGCTGTGCTGGAGATAATAGATTGCAGTATACTAGGTCTCTAAAAAAAAAAAAAAAAAAAAAAAAAAATTAAATAATTAATTAAATAAAAAAAAATAAGCATGTAAATGCACAATAAAGTTGGGGGGGGGGGGGGTGTGCATATCCATAGGAACACTTTGCTTCCACTTATTTTTAAATCCAATTGTCCCTATCGGGCATTTCTTATTTATATTATTTTAATGGCTTCCTATTGGAAAATTCCGCTGTACCAGGGCTCGACAAATCCTAGGCACCAGGTCACCATGGCGACTAGAAATTATGTCCTGGCATCTGGGTTCACACACTGCCTCCCAATGACTTCAATGGGAAATCACACCCCATAGACTTCAATGGGATATCGTGCCCCATAGACTTCAATGGGATATCGCACCCCATAGACTTCAATGGGATATCGCGCCCCATAGACTTCAATGGGAAAATCGCGCCCCATAATCTTCAGTGGCAAAACACCTCCCATAGACTTCAATGGCAAAACACCTGCCATAGACTTCATTGTAAAAACTCCTGTCAGTGGCAATCCTATGTGAACGCTTATCTCCGCAAGCCACTCTATTCTATCACTTGCGAGTCTGGAACGCACCACTACCCTTTTCATAATGGCACTCAAAAATATGATGCGTGTGGATCGCATCTGTGTGAACCATCTCAATAGGAACACATAATATCTAGCCTGTCATGCTGTGAGTTTCAAAACGAATCCAAAATGTGGGAAGCAGGGCGGCTCCATTCACACCTGGGCATTTTGGGTCACAGCAGAATTGCTGTGATTGCAAAATGCAGGTTCAGGTGCCATTATTTTCAATGGCGCCTAAAACATGGCGTGGTTTTGCCGTGATGGTCATGAAGTCTCGGGTGAAAAAAACCCACGTAACGCTAAAAAAAAAAAAAAAAAAAAAGCCTCCTAATTTTTTTTTTTGGTGGCTCCTGGATTCAAAGCAAATTTGTTAAGCCCTGTGCTATACCATTGGCAACCTGTGTGTGTATATATATAATATATTCATGTGTGTGTCGGGGGGGGGTTAAGGTGGTTAAGCACAGGTGCTATTGTATATTCCAGCAAGGAAACATTTCATGATACCAGTGTAACCCCGAGTGAAAAGGCTGTGGCATCGTATTACTCCAGCACTGAGATAAGTGATATGCTAGCTGTATGATTACAGATAATAGCTGCAAGGAAATAAGCAAGGCTCTTCCTTGGCTTTGATTACCCATAATGTTAACCAACAAAAGCAGTAACTAGAAAGGTAGAAGATCAAATAGGCTGGAGCCTGGCATTCAGCTGCTAGGCCAAATCCAGTGTCAGTCTGCTGACATGAGAATTGATTTAGCAATTAATAAACTTACCTGGTGGCCTTCTTGAGTCTTACTAGGACAGGATTCCTGGCTAAGGACTTTGTTCTCAGTCTTTAATATTTTAATGAGCCCGCAGGCTTAGCTGCGTACAAATGAGTAGGGATTTCTAAGTGCAATGTTTAATGTTTCTGCTCCGCAAAGGATGTTGATTAGAAAGCTCTTGTTTCTATTTCCCACAGGCATTCTGCCGCAAGCAATATTATGTACAGAAAGGCTAAACTATATTTGTGGATGATGCTGTATTGCTTGCTGAGGCCTACAGCTTCATTTGGATAGCTAAAGCCTGCTTGTTGTGTAACGGTAATATCTTTTGGGTTTTGGAGGAGAACTGCTTTTCAAGTGAAATTAATACTCGAAGAAAAAGCAAAAACAAGCATGTTCTGGTGTAGGGTTTATTTTTCTATTGTGTTTTTGAATTTGTTGCTTTTTGTTTTTAATCTTGGTTTAGCTATTTTGACCTACCAAAACATTGTAGCCTCCCTGGCGGTATTCCCGAGTGTAGCTCGGGGTAAAGTTTCAGTACCAAAAGCGTAACCCCGAGCTACATGTGGCGCTGCTCCGGGATCCCCTGATCACTTACCTTGTCCTGCGCTCCCCGCGATGTCTCTCCTGCAGTGTCCCCTGTAATGTCCTATGGCCAATGCCAGCATCTGTCTTCTGGGCTCCGTCCCCTGCGAGCTTCGGGACGTACGGGGATGGAACTGACGGGAAATTTGAAAATGACAAAAAGTGACATTCACTAAATACACTTAGATCACATAGTAAAACATTCCTGTATCAAACCATTTCACATACATTTTGTCCCTAGAGTGCTTTGTCCTGTGCCCTGCCTGCATTTTTACTGTTCTTTCTGCCTGGAAACTGAGAAATGTCCATGGCGTCCAAAAATTGTCCCTTTAGGTCAAAAGCAGTTTTAGACCAGCTAGAGAACAGCGATAGTAAATCAGAACCACTTGCAGAATTGAGTGATAATGATTCGTGGGGAACTTCGTCATCACACACTGAAAACGATTTTGCGACTTTGCTCAGTGATGTGCGAACTTGGCGCTCTATTTCAAATTTCAGTGTTTTTGGTTTGATTATATTATTAAATTAAATTTTTTATTATTATTTTTTATGATTATTTATTAAATTATAATTTATGATTTCGTATTTCAAATTTTAACATACCTGGGATGTTTACTAGACTCTTGTTCGGACAGAGTTCAGTGAGTTATTCCTAAAAATTACAGGCCTACAATAAAACAAATACATATTTCCATGCAAAAAAATGTACCGCTATGAGCACAGAAATATGGACATAATCAGACCGCTAGGGAGGTTAAGTTATGGCTGTTTTTTTTTATTTCCAGTCTGCTAGTTTTGAGTATTTTCTTGGTCAGTATTGGATGCTTTGCAAACTCCTGCATGTCTTGCAGTGCTCTTGAGCCATATACAATTTTGCTGATAATGGCAATCCGTGCGTTAAGGAGATGATTTTACAGTTTTGAAATAGATACATGAACTCATTCTCGGCCTGCTTATAAACAGAGCTGTGAAGGTGACAAATGTTGAATGCATGACTTTTGATCTTTAAAAAGAAGGGGGAAAAAAGCTCTTACCGACCTGTACAAAACTCTTTTAAAATGAATATTTAAACTATGTGCCAAAGCTTTTAAAAGGTAAAAAGTGCCAATAACCTTTTTTATGTATAATTATTTTATTGCAGACAGGTTTCTATTTTCTTAAATAAACTAAAGCCCAGGACAGGGGCACATAACTGAAGACTAGATTATTATTATTATTATTAATAATAATAATAATAATAATAATAATAATAATAATAATAATCTAAACAATAATAATATTACTAGTGCCTCTGTTGTTATCAACCTTATTATATATGATCATCAATCCATTGACAATGCTGGTTCTACTTTTATTAGTCCAATTACACCCAAGTACCCTTACTTTTGATTTAAGTCTCACCCATCTGAATTACTGGCATCTGAGGAATCCCAAACTCTTGTCAACTGTTCATAAGTCTGTTATTATGTATTTAATGATATGCTACTATTTTTTGTTTCTGTTTTCTTACAATTTTTTCCTAATTTTTGTTTTCATTTAGATTCCTTCCTGGTCAAGGGATAATACTGTATCCACAAATAGGAGATAAACTGGATATAATTTGCCCTAAAGTGGACACCAAATCTACTGCCCAATATGAATATTATAAAGTCTACTTAGTGGATAAGGAGCAAGCAGATAGCTGCACTATAAAAGACAAAACGCCTTTGCTGAACTGTGATAAGCCAGAGCTGGATGTGAAGTTTACCATCAAGTTTCAGGAGTTCAGTCCGAATCTCTGGGGACTGGAATTCCAGAGAGACACGGACTACTACATCGTATGTAAGTATGCCTGATTTTATATATAACACATGTCATTTCTACTTTATGAAAGGGTGCCTTGTATAGAATAAAATGTATGTTTTATTTTTGCAATGTCTTCTAATGTCTGTTGGATACCTGATCTGAGACAGGCGATATATCGGTATATATCAGCCTAATCCCCCTTTTTAAAAGTCAGAAGTGTTTTCATATTGAAAATAGATTAAGCTTGGGGTCCCAATGCAGGCTCAAAGAATAAAAGCTACTGCCTGTGATATATAGACCTAGTAAAATAGGGGGGATGGCAGACTTTCCTCCAGGAGCTGGAAATGGAGTAAAAGTGAATAGCATGTAATACTATGAAATATACATTATGGCCGTAGCTTTTTAGTTGCATTAAATGGGTTTGCAGTTCGAGAACTGATCAAAGCTTATGGAGCAAGAGACACACTTTCATTACCTCAGACCTCAAAGCCCAGTTGCTCCGTGTTTTTTTGAAAGTACTGCCCAGACTATCATGAAATATAATCATTTTTCGGCTTCCTAACATCTTTTATGACCTGTGAAGTGGGTAAAGGAGTGCCTCGGGAAACATTCAACTGAAAACCTCCAGCTTGCATGCAGACCTCATTAGTTCAGCTTACACTGAGATGATCATTTATTCTGACATGCACACACTCAAATAAGGAGGTTTTCCTAAATGTTCTGTCCAGTCTTTCTTTATTCCCTTTGAGTTTTCATCTAACTCTCTTAATTAATTGCCCTCTTGCCTCAGTGCAAACAATCTAATTCCCTATGCAGTCGCATGAATTGACCTAACGTGGAATGCAGTCGGCTTGGATACGTTTTAGCCATACAAGATTACCAGAGAGATTAATTGTAGAAGTCTCTTTGGAGTCTTATTAAAACTAAAATTGCACTGTTCTTCAGAATTCCAAATAGACCTCAAACAAGGGTTGAACTGAAAAAGTTGGAGCCCCATAGCCCATTCCTTACACCCAAGGAAAATTAACTTCATGGTCCTATTAAGGCACCAAGACAGAGCACAGTTTTAAGTTGTTACCTGTTGATATCTGCCAGTGCTTTGCAGGGCAGTCTTGGGGGATATAAAGGATTGGACTACCTTGTTCTTGTTGGATTTATAGTACCCATGTGGGCTGGAATGGCATCAGTTCAATAAAATTTAAAGGTGCCATAATATCAGCAGATAGGATCAACAAATAATTCCAACCTCTGCAGGTGGCCACCTAAACTAAAAACCTAGGTTTAATTCTATAGGGAATTCCAAGAACCCCTGTCTGGTTCTTTTTTGCTGTCTGTCCTTTTGGGAAGATTTGACTTTGTCCCACAACAGAAACTGAGAGGAAAGCTATGCAAACAGTCCAAACTGAAAGAAACAATTCTTGCAAAAAAAAAAAGTGCCAAAATAAATTGATGTTTCCATCAAAAGATTCCTGCTTTTTCTGGTCTGGAGATAGGCTTAACATGTTGAGTTTTCCATCACCTCCTGTCAAAGTGACAAAAAACATAACAAATAGAGAAGATAAATCTCCCATCGGGCACGAACAATAATTAAAACTTGGCAGAGATTCCAGTGATTTCCCACTCTACCCCAAAACTAAAACGAACATTTTGGCTGTAGATAGGCTTTAAGCTTTACAGTAAGCCTGTAACATGAAGACAGGATGGGGCCATACCATTTCCATTTGTTCTTTTGTTTATCTATCTTTATTGTGTGTAATGAAGCAAGTATCTAATCTTTTGTGGAATATCAGTTCCTAATGAACTCCACTGAACTCCTACTATCTCAGGTGATTACAGCTACCATACCTTGACAAAACTTGATATATTTTGAGCTGTTTTATATAGTCTATGTAGTCGATTGCAATATTTTTACAGGAAGAACCCTTACATGCTGGGAACAGTATTGCAATTTTTTCTTTCAATGGGATTATAAAAATCATCATTGGAAATACTGAAAAAAGTAAGCTTCTGTACTAGCGAAAAGCAATTATGTCAACGCTACTTTATTTTTATGATTCTTTTTGTAAGCTCTCCTGCTCTGTAGCATTTTAGGCCAGTTATCTAAGCCTGCTTTAAAAGTTCCAGGTCTCCAAAACAATGCCTTAAGTGCAAACACAGAATGGAAGTCACAGGTGAAAATGATCGCTGTTGAGAAAAAGCAGCTCTTAGAACCTACACATTTGTGCCTATTCTTGTTAGTGTTCCCATGAAAAAAAAAATGACATATAATTTACAGCTATTGATAGCACAAGTGGAAATCCACCGTGAACATTTGTAATGTTGATAATAAAGATATGAAAGTGAAATTTGTATCCGTTTTCTATTTGTAGCATCAAAGAATACATGACTAAGCACATGAAGCTTCCCATTATGTTTACCTTTTGTTAGGTATATACAGTAATAACATTCTTTTTAAATGCTGCGATCAGTCATTGTCCTAGTCCAGCCGCTGCTATGTAAATCAGTAAAAGGAGGGTTAGAAAAGGTGTGAACAGCTGTGACAGTTGTCTTGATGTGCAATCCATTGAAGAATGCTGTAGTACATTCAATGATTTTTCTTCAACTGAAGAAAAAAAAAAAAACGATAGGAACACAACTACATTAGACAAGGCAGTATTAAAAACATATACAAACTTATAAGGCTGTATAGAGTTATAGGTTTATTGAGAGTATTGGTGTTGTTCCTTATTACGGTATTCTAGCAAGTTTGGAATAACTTATTGGCGTATTCATTTAAACAGATAATATATTTTTGATGGGCTTGCTTGTCCTTATTGATTAAGCAGGGGGTTTGATATTGAATGATGAGACAGTCTATGCAGTGCCTACCTAGCAGATAATGCAAATGAAAATTCTGGTGCAGAAACTGAAAATTCAGGATGCACTTGGCCTAAAACAGACAGTTTTTAAAAATTAATATATTTTTCATATTGTTTTGGAAAAAAATACACTTTAATGATTAAAAAAAACCCCACAATATATAACTCATTTTTTTTATAAAATATGAAAGATGATGTTACGCCGAGTAAATAGATCCCAACATGTCATGCTTTAAAATTGCGCACGCTTTTGGAATGGCATCAAACTACGGTACTTAAAAATCTTTATAGTCGATGCTTTAAAAATTTCTACAGGAGGATATCAGTGTAAAGTTACAGAGGAGGCCTAGTGCTAGAATTATTGCTCTTGCTCCAATGTTCGTGGCGATACTTCACATGTGTGGTTTGAACACTGTTTACATATAAGGGCGTGGCCTATGTATGCTTTCACCACTACGCGCGAGCACAGGGGATGAAGGCACTTTACACTTTTTTTTATTATTTATTTATTTATTTTTACACTGTCCCTTTCAAAAAATAATTTTTAAATCACTTTTATTTCTATCACAAGGAATGCATGCATCCCTTGTGATAGAAATAAGTAGTGACAGGTCCTCTTTATGCAGAGATATGGGGTCAATAAGACCCCACATCTCTCCTCTACAATGTAAAGCATTAGCTCAAAGCGCTAATCTAGTGCTTTAAAAAAAAAAAATGGCCTTGTTTACAAAGCGCCGGAACCGGAAGTGACGTTGCTCCGGTTCTCCAAGGGCATAGAGATGAGTGGAGGTCATCTTTCCTTCACTAATCTCTGTGCCCATCACCGGGATTGTTCGATGGTTTCTCAGGTAAGGCTGAGAACCACCAAGTGGTGGCGGATGGCGGCAGCGAGGGGCTGTAGCAGCGGGCGGGTGGCAGCAAAGGGCGGGGTATATTGGTGCTTATTTTCATGTCGGCCATAGGCCGATAGTGGTGTTTTCGGCCACCTAAATTTCGGTGCATCCCTAGTTTTAAGGCAAGAATTTTATTGCATTGCCACGTAGTATAAAAGTGCTGAATACCTAGCAGATGTGGCCAGAGATGAGCACAAACGGCTGGGATAGGGAGTACATTTTTTTAATGTTTTTAAAATCTTGTAATACTTTATTACATCAGTTTCTTTACAGCTATTTGTCAGAAGTAACTATTACATTTTACTGTATCTGATCATCTTCTAGTGGAAAAGGGATTAAACCTCTGTTAGGTTTTTACTGTGGCCTTTGGCCCCATTGGTGAGATTTTCCATCACTTCCTGAGAGGACTTCCTATCCTAGTGACAACTCCCCTCATTTATTTATCTTTTGTCACAGGGGCTAGAAAAGAGGTGAAATCTCCCCAACTGGGTCACAGATATCAATAGAAACTTGACATTGGGCGTTTTGTTTTGTTTCAAGCTGGGCTTTTAGATTCTATAGCAGAATATTTATTGCTGCCTGTGTCCCCATTGGGGAGATTTTCCTTACTTTTTTGTTCCATATTTCCCTCACTTCCTATCCCAGCATTGATGCTAATAATGGAAACTCTGGTTTATCCATTCTCCTCCTGTGGAGTATCCAACAAGCATCTGTTGTCGGTGCGACTAGGTTCAAATGAATTCTCCAGGAATATATGCTAAATGTGCCACATAGCAATGTCCTGGTGGAACAGAAAATGAGGGGAAATCTCCTTAGCCAGAACACAAACATCAGTGAAATCCTGGTGGAGGGTCTGTCCTTGTTCTGTCCAAACTGTAAAAAAAATTTGCTAAGTACCTCTAAATTAATAAATAGTAGGAGCAGTCTTAGAAAACACAAAGCGGCATATATCCACTGCAATATAGTTTCTAATTTTTACTTGATTTAATAGACCTTAGTTTCTTTTCAACCCAGACTATTTTGTGTTTTTCTGTAATCTACATTTACAGCCTCTTTGATGTAAAATCAAGTTATTTTTCATTAGTCAAAGCATGTAGAAAATTGCTTTAGATTGTCTTTTGAGTGAGACGGCTCCCCTCCAATGAATTAGGTTCATTTGGAGGGCAACTGTGGCATTTATTGGGTTTACCACTAGGTTGTCCTCTGTCAAATTATATGGCGTCACATGCATTGGGGCTTTTATACAATGAGAATGAAGTGTTTTTTAATTCATAGTGTTATATTC